TATTTTCTCATTTATAAATGTTAACATTAATAATAAACTTTAAAAAACATGGCGCGGGCTGCCTTATCACTGGCACCTCTAAATAAAAGTTAATCAGTGGCAAATGATTATTATTTTATTATAATTATAATTGAATCTTACAAGAAAGAACGCGATAGAAAGTAAGTTTGTGTGTATTACATTTTTTATTGGGAAGTGAAAGTGCATAAGTATCATGTTTACAAAAGTATTTATTTCACACATTTTTTCCATGCAAAATAGGCTGTCCGGTATATTGTAGACCGGTGTCAGTTCAACTTTAACGACACAATAATAAGTGTATTTACTGCCATTATGAAAAACATTACATATAAACGAGATAATAATAAATACAATTCATTATTATCGATAACTATGCCGGGGTTCACTCGGTTATTTTACAAAGGAATACTTAATGTAATAAGTGGAGTGATAACCTTTTAAGTGGGGCTTCAATCTCTTAAATCATATTGGAGTTCGTTGTTGTTATCAACATACAGCAAAATGTATAGATAAATCGCTCCAAAGAAATAACTTGAAAGAGGTTAAACATGAACAAACGCGGCTCTCTCAACAGTACTCAACCCAGTAACAAGTCAGTGAGTTAGCCGGACTAGTTATTGTATAAAAAATTTAAATTTAAAAAAAAAATTCACATAAAAAACAGGGGAATTGATTATATCGTCGTACTGCCATTAACAATTTTATATATCATATTACCATATTACCTAATCACATTAGCTCTCTATATAGAGAAGAATGGCATTCTTCGGGGCTCTAATAAATCTATATTATTCGGACCAACATTAACCAATTACCAACGGTCATTTCTTTGTTATTAATACAATGTATCTCGGGGTAAGAACCCAGATAATTCCGATTTTATATTAGATCATAGTATTTTTTTCTATATAAAAAAAATGTTGTGAATAGACTTGATGAAATTGGCTGTACGAGAAATCTGTTATTGAAATATTTTAATATGTGTATTGCTAAAGTAATATATACAATATGATGAGTAGGTTCCCAAAAAATTACAGTATACAAGATTGCCGTAATCAATCGCATCTGTGTAAGTATATAATGTACGAATTGTTTATCGAATTATTTATTTAAAACGTCATTGCAACGATCAAAATTTAATTAACCATTTTGTATAGGTATTGTTTGAATTTTCTAGCAGTAATTAACCATTACCTATTAATTAGTAGATATATAATGATATATTTTTTGTACTATAAAGAAAGCGGAGTGAATATGAATGTGGAATGACAACTTTCAGAATTTATGTAAAGAATATTGGAGATAAGTGTTTCAACCGGATTTAAGTTGTGTTTTTTGTTATAAGGCGATTACAAAATAAAGCCCTTTCTCCTGTTATTGAAGGTTTAATCGAAAAACCTTGTAGATAGCCAGTTTTCTACTGTCTTTTAAAATTTATGAATGAAATTTATTTACCTGCAAATCTAATCCAGGACCAGTTACAAACCGAACTCTAAAGTTTTCTAGTTTGTTATGAATATTATTCGTGTCTTTTGGAAAATATAAAGTAAGGTCATTTTATACCATGTCGACCTCAACAAGCCCCACTGATACGTTACGACACAATCTAACACAGATTGATAAACAACTATTATTTAACTGATAAATCACGTATATACTTACGATTCATGACGACAACGGGTCATCACATTCAATAACAATAATAGCTTTAGATCTTGACGACCAGTATTTGACGTATAAAAGCTTATTAGCCACGATTAGCTAGATGGTATTATTGTTACTTTGAGCTCTTCTCCACTCTGATACGCTATTACGTTGTATATTTAACAATTCATAAAAGCTTTAAGTAATGTTCTATAAGCCTTGATAAAGTATACGATAATATACGTCGGCAAAGTAACTGATATCAAATTTAAAAAGAACAAAATTACTTGAATCAGTAGCCAGGTACGCCGAGTTTACAGCTCTTTGGTCGATATCATAAGGCCCGATTTACTTTGGTCTTTTTTAATAAGTGAAGACCTGTTATACGATAATCAGGCCGCGATATTAAGTTTCATTATGTTATAATACTGATTCGGAAAAGCTTTTATAATAAAGATCAACGACCAGCTAAGAACAAATCAGAAAGTGTTATAAGTATGGCATGAAAGACTAGTCCGAAAAATGATATAAATTAACTATGTAAATCTACATAATATCCAGTACTTGGCGTTGGAACTACTTATGTTTAAGAGGTCAGTGGAACGCTTCAACAAGGCACAATAACTTATAATTACTGTTGAGATTGTGAGAGGTCAAGCTGTATGCAATTTTGTAATAGCGTGTGTTGTAGCGTAACACTTATAACAATTAAGAAAATATTCAAAGGGAAACGACAGTCGATGAAACCCAGTATTTCATATGAGTTCTCGTTCTAGTTTCTTCATACTTTTTCCTAGAATCGAAATCCAAAAAAATTAAAAAATCTAAAAATAAAAGAAAAAATACAAACACAGAAATGTGTCTACTCATAGCCACAGTACCATTATACATATATATAGTAGTAATTTACAATTACAAATAAATAGTCATTACACGTGATAGTACAAAAATAATAAATAGGCCAGTAGGAGGCACTTACTCATATTTACGTACCTATCGATTAATTCTATTCTTAAACTAGCTAATTCAAACTGTCATAACAGTAAACTTATCTGCGATCAAATGATATCTACTGGTTTATTTGTCGAATGAAAACAATTTCTAAAGAAATCTTCAATTTCTCTTCATCGAAGGGCATTCTATCGAATAATAACGTTTTGACAAGGGTCTCTGATTCCAACACACCTGACTCCCAAACTCAATTTACGGAAACTTTTCTTTTACATTTTATCTGAATTCAAATAAATCTTCATTATTTAGAAGTTGACGGGGAAATTCTTTATGGACGCGATTGTAATTTTTACCTCAAGAAAAGGCAATCACTCAATTATTCTTACTGCATTAGGTAGTTATTAGTTTTTGACTAAGGATTAAATCTAATATATAAAATTCTCGTGCCACTACTTTTGTTCCCATACTCCTCCGAAACGGCTCGACCGATTCTTATGAATTTTTTAATGCATATTCAGTATGTCTGAGAATCGGCAACTATTTATATTTCAAACCCCTAAGTGATAAGGGGTGTCCACTCCAATTTTTTTTTTACTACGAACTACTAAAATTTTGCAGTAAATATTTCGAGGAGGAGAACAAACTGCATGTGCCTTCTTCCAGAACTGCTAAGACTTTATGTACCTGAATAGTATTTCAGATCCCGGTGGCACACCCTACTGTCTGAGTGGAGCGCAAGAACTGTGCTCCGCCAGCAGTCACCGATTCCGCCTTGCGCTGTTTATCCGTTTCCTCAGAAGTGGATATATTTACGACAGGTTTGGGAAGACGGAGAGATGTAGTTGTTGTTTTTTTAAGTAGAAAAAAATTGATTAGTATTTTCATAATTATATTAACGTAGTATGTAAGTTAGTATATTTTATTATATTGTTGGGCATTTATGCTGTAAATAAATAAATAAAATAAATCCACAGCCAAGATCTTTGGAGCATGGTGTAATGGTTGCAGCAACAAACATTGTGTAACACAAAAAACTTCGCGATTAAAAAGAGTGGCGGAGAGTTTTTTTGCCAGTTCTTTTCTTCCGTTCTACTTCCTTGAATTAAGAAATGGATTTGTAAAATTAGAAGCATTAATTTGTATTTCTTTATAGACGTTCAAAAGTGTACATTGTGTTACCTACCTATATGAATAAATGATTTTGATTTGATTTGCGGAAATATTTTGTTCAAGTTAATTCGGTTCCAATTCTGACTGTGCACCAATAACCAACAGTTATTTCTTATGTGCGCCATTAACAAGTGCTCGTACAGAGACAGAAAATATTGTGACGTAACCGGCAAGACTTAGACCCAGACTGATCTGGACCATAAAGGATAAATATCAATGAAAGAGATGCAGAAATGTGTTTGCAACACGCCAAATAATAGTTTTACGTGACTTAATACTTAATAATTATTCTTTATTATTTCTTTAGCGAGAGTTTAGGAAGAACAACTGGTTTAAAACCAGTTTCTGATAATGACCTTGGTTGGCTACAAGTCTGCTTAGGAATGTATCGTATGTATAATCTAATTTAAATGTTAATATATTTCAGAATATGTATAAAATAGCTGTATAACGCGTTGCGTTCAATGCGTTATTTAGTTATATTATACAAATCCCGTATACATAATGTATATAATTAATTAATAGATAATATAAATCCTAATCACATATACAGATTAAAGAGCAGTATAATAAGCTATATAAGTACTTCAAGGTTTTGTTTCGAACGAAAAGCTATGTAATATGTAAAATTATTTATCGAAACGTTATCATAGTAATAGATCGTAATATCAATATAAACTGTCGTTATCATTTATCAAATACGTTCAGTGGGTATTAAAGTAATATCGAACATATTGTTTATTTACATGGTCCCCGTTTTATATCGATATCTTTATATGTTACCAGTGTATAACTAAAGTCACACTCATATTATTTTTTACAAACTATACAGGGAAAATGTTTGTGGTTGTCAAGTAATTAAAAACTGCTTTTGCAATTAATGAGAACAAGTTTTAAACGAAATGTTTTGATTTTAATATTTGATAATACGTCTACTCCAGTGGTATAATTAAGCGTTTATATATTCCTTATATACATTTGCATCATAATTACTGTTATTATAATATTCTAATAATAAGCGCGTAGTACCTCATTTTTATTGTAGTAGTAGAAAAGAAAATTATTTTTTTAGAAGGATTATAATCAGTATAAAAGCAAGTTACAATTTTAACTATATCTACGAGATATTTTGTTCAATGTGAGCCGTCATAAAGTCTCAAATCGTTTCATTAACATTTATTTATTCGTGTTTAGAAAGCAAAATAAATTCTTACCCAGAACAGTTGGATTTTTAACCATAAAGTCCTGTTTCGCACGAATTACTTCCAATCTTATCTGGTTCTCCAAAGGCGTCTCTAGAGCTGAGAATACCAAAGCACCAGACAACAGATACGTCACATAGAAAACAGTGTAAATCAATAGAAGACACGCAAATCTCGCTTTCCCGAAAACCTTAGTCGTGGCGAACAGTGGTTGGAACGGCGGATGTTCCTCTTCATACAATATTTCTCTTGTTACAATCATTTTTTTAGGATACGGGTACACTTGGCTATGCACCGTCATATCATCGTCGCTTCTATTAGAGCTCATGCTACCGTACGAGTGTATTCTCTTATATTTCTCCATTATGCTATCGTTTCCAAATTGCTGGGCAATTTAGCCGAATCACTAAACTTTATTCAAGTCCAAAGTATTATTTTCACGACAACGTAATATTTTAGGCCGTAACGGCTGAACCTACGGTCAACTGTATTTAAAGAATCTTTTGGGATGATTCGATTCGAAAAACAACGAACAAGCCTTATACGTTACACGAATCACTTTAGGTGTCATCGTGATACATTTTAGAAAGAGTTAATTTAAATGTGAGCAAAGAAAGTAGACGACTATCTATTGCCACGTCCGATTAACAACTGACAGTACGTCGTCCGAGCAGTGTGACTGTGTAACCATAACCGCATCATAGTGAATGCGCACACGCACATGCAGTAACCGCAGTAATATTATTAGCTGGAATAGCGCCTCTTAAAATGAAGTTTATTTCTTACTTGTAATAAATAATCATATATAATGTAAAAGAAAAAGGTTACGGATAATTATTTAATTTAAATAGTTTCTTAATATTATGTAATAAAGTAGGTACTGCAACTTCGAAAGTATGTAATGTTTCATTTTTAGATTAATTAGTTTTGTCACTAAAAATATTATCTTCAATAGTGGGATTCAACAACCTTTTAATTAAATTGTAGGTGTTTCTTTGTCATTATTCCACTTTAGGGTTGCCTGGAAGAAATCGCTTGTTAGCGATAAAGCCGCCCGTTACCTTATAACTTTTGTAACCTGTTTTTTATTTTTGTTATGTGTATGTTTTTGATTAAGGTAATAAAGTATAAATAAATAAATAAAATAGTAAATAATCTTTGAATAATAAGCAGTGTTGGCTTAGTAGCTTTAGCGTATGACTCTTATCCCTAAAGTCGTAGGTTCAATCCTCGGCTGTGCACTAATGGGCTTTCTGTCTGTGTATGCAATTAACTCTCACTCGTAAGGTGAAGGGACGAGAGGCAACTAGGCTTACACAAAACGTCGATGGCGTATATGAGGCACGGAAAACATGATCACAAAATAGAAAAGGAAATCTGAAGCTCAGATCTAATAGGTTTCAAAGTTTCAAAGACACTTTGATACAGGAGCAAGCGACAAGCAACTTTTGTATTTTTACATAAGGAAAATACATACCAGAAATACATGGATGGTCTTGCAAAAAGCTGGTTTTCGCTTTTCTAATATTCTCATCTTTGACTCGATCCGCAGGCTCTTCAATAGCTTGAAATACTGTTGCACCTGCAAATTAAAAAACATCTACAATAATGTAACACGTACCTTAATCACACATCGGATTTGAATGAAAACTAATTGAAATACATTTCACAATCCATATTTTCAGTCTTGCATCGTTAAAACTTTTATTTAATTAGTCAAGAAACTGTAAATAATCGCATTGAACGATTTTATGCATGATCAAGCAGAAGACAACTAACGCGAATATAGTTAGGACCTTTAAAAAATCTTCTTCGAACCTTCTGTTTGAATTTAAGAGGGGTGTTTAATAAACAGTGATAATGCGAGACGAACTCCTTCAAAAGAAAAAAATACTGACAGGTAAAGCCCAGATATTAAATATAGTAATAAAAATAGCATCCAGCTTTTGTTTTTAAAAAATAGAAGTTTGATTGCGTTCGTGTCGGAACGTGGTCTGATAAATCGATAAAATTGAAGTTCGCGCAGTAATAAAATATCACTGTTTGAATGTTTTCTAACTAAATCACTTGTATTCAAGACTTGAGGGGTGACCTTAGGGGTTTATAATTATTCTCCATATTCTACGGTTGTGCGTCGGTGCTGAGTTAAAACGAAGAAGAAACTCCATTAACGAGGACCTCCGCACGGGACGCCCTACATCGGTAGTGCCTCAACAAATTATTTAAAATGTTGAAAACATGTCGTGGCGAATCGTTGTGTAACTGTTTGTTTTATAGCAGATGAAATGAAGATTTTTATAGGAAGTGTCCATATAAATATATGTTACACAACCATTTGGATATGAACAAAGTCAGGGCGCTCTGACCAGCAGAAAGAAACGTAACTGAGAATTTCACTTCCGAGAAAGGAACATGAGGAAATATGCAAGCAGCAGCGTAACAAACTCTCTTAAGTTGTTTTGTTCCACCAAGACACCGCGCATAAGCCCAGTGTTGCGCTAAGAATTCGCTAAACATCCTTCATATTAACATGACCTAGCTAAAGAAGTTGACGCAGTCGTCGCCACGGTACACGATTTTTACGGGATCAGGGATTTTATTTAAAAGGGAGTTTTTATAAATCTGAAAGATGACAGCATCGTAAAATAAAATAACATTTTATAAAAGATAATTGCGTCACTTCTTATTGAACACCTCTAGTAGTATTAACATGTTAGGCGTCTTATTAAATTGTTTTATGTTTTAAAGTGTATAATCAGATTTCCAATGAATTAGCTACGTGGAACAATCTTCGCAGACAAATCCGATTAGAAACAAATGAGTATTCATGAAATGAATTTGCAACTTAGCGGTTATTCAATTTATATTTTATTTAATTTGTTTCGTTGGACTTATAATATTGTGAATATAGAAAGTATAATAAAATTGCCGCAAGAGAAATTTCTTTACCATCGGTATTTTTAAGAATAGAAAAAGGACTGGACGTAGGAAAAAATCAAAGCGCTGAAAATCACCGTGCCTTCATATAGGAATTATTATAACTGGAAGCAGCCAGAAATGAGTATAAATCGAGGAGACTTTTCTTGTTGTTCGAAATCACATTACCCCTTTCAGTCTCAGAGTTTTCTTATTTTAATCAGATCGATACTGTGTTTTTTACTACTTACCCATAGACAAATACAGTCCCATGGCAGTAACAAGAAGCAGCAGGCGTAGCATTGGCATGCTCCGCACATGTTTCACACAGCCCGGCATCACCAGTCGCATGGCAAGAACTAAAAAAAATATTAACAGTGTCGATACAGTAAGATAAATAGTGTCGTATTATTATTATCATTATGTCTAGGTACAGGTATCAAAAAAATCTACTAAACATCATTTGTATATTCTCCATTAGAGAAATAGCAAATAAGAATTTTCTGGAATTAAAAATAAACTTTTAACTCCGTATCTAAGCTGGATGATAAAGGGTATATAGTTGCTGTGTTCACACCCTGATTTTGCACCAACGGATTTATTAATTTAAATACGTAACTTACGGCCAACTGGCAGCCCATATATGAGGAGGCTTTTTATACCATTCATCCTAATCTAATAATTTTATAAGATATGACGTAAACAATTATCTGGAGGCGTGTGAAGTAGTTGTGGTGAAAGACTTTCTTAAAGAAGAGAGCGCACCAATTGCTCATGGTAACGCACTCGCGAGCCTTTTGGCAGAGTGTCCATGGAGGGTGGTATCACTTAACATCAGGCGAGTCCGAGTTATCAAAAATGGATAATATAATTTGCACAAAACAAATTTCGAGTGGCATGTAAATTGGTTGTTACTTAGGTATACGCAGTTTTCATTGAAAACATCGATGTTGAAAATGCAATTTATTCGATAGTCAATCAAGCTGAGGTACATACTACATAGGTCGCGCCCATTACCTAGCAAATAGCATATAGATATAAGCTCTTTAGATCACTGATGAATATCGACTGTTTTAATTGAATTGGATAGCACTCTCAACGGTATATGTATGTAGGCGTTCCATATTATTCAGTTTTAATTAATTAAACTGTAGATGTCTTGAGATTAGGTTTGGCTATGAATAGATCTGAGGCTGTAGTGTATAAAATCCTTTAATCACTATGAAAGGTAAACATTTCTGCAAAGAATTATAGATAATCTATGAATGCAACATGATTTTGCCTATGGTATACTAGTGTATACCCAAAATACTATAAGTATGTAATAATTATTGTGTAAGTTAGAGAAACAGATGAATCAATGGACTCCGCGACAGTTCGCGGACGATCGATACTCAAATGCCTCAATCTAAATATGTTCTAATATTATTGATGTGGATGTGTGTAAAATCATATTTTCTTGTATTATTTTATGGATACACGTTATTTTAGAATTTATAAATAAATAAACATATTTTTTATAGGCACTTCAAAGTCCTTAAGTTCTTAAAGTCAAATCTTTGGAGTTTAGTCATTTTATATTGTAAGGATACTCGTATATAATATAGCTCTATCGCGCTAATAACGCTTTTAAACGAACCTATCGCGTGTCAGATAAACAAATTCTATCGGCAATTAGGCCGTCCATTAGCCGTCTAAGTTCAAAAATTAGATCAATATTAGAATAACCAAATAACTTTTGAGTATTTTTGGTTTAGTTTAAATTTCCATGCCTCGCAGGGATAGTGGAGCTCGTCTTTCTGTGTCACATTTTTTTGTTACGAAATAGCTTTTGTTAGTGGATATTTCCAGATTATGTATAAAATTAATCCGTATCTGATATTTGCCTGGTACATTATAATAATACAAAATTTTGTATAAAACGTTTTATTAACAAAAATTGTAACTGTCCTACGAATTATATATCCGCCATTCATAAAATTACAAATAGAAACGTAATTAGTACAAAGATAGCAATTAAGTAGTCCGCTTCTAAGTCGGACACAGGTAACTTCTAAAATGAAGGTTTATTTAAACCAACAACCGTACTCAGAAACGTCCCTGAAATAGACTTATAAATGTATTTTTAGAAAGCTACTAAATTGTAATACTTAACTAAAATACTTTTCGGAATAATTTCCAGTAAGATCTATTGGATTGTTTAATTTTAAAAGTTAGTACGGCTATAGTTGTAGTAATGGACAGAATACTTACATACTAAAATTTAAGTCTATACAGTAACTACCTTGTCCTATAGATAGCTAAAATAAGATTTTGTATATAAACTAATAAAGAAACAACTAGTACTAGTAACTAGTGATAAAAGATAATACATATAGACAGTAAATGTACAACGAAAGCCACAAAAGAGAACTTACTTTTTATTTTAAACTATTAAATTAACTCTCCCGACGTTTTTCTAATTATTTAGCCTCAGCTAATTTCTAATCATTTATTTAGATCCATTTAGAAAATGTAAAACAAGAACATGGTACCTATAGTCATTTTTTTATTATATTTAGCAAGCTAGGTCTAATTAAAAATACCGTATTATTATTGTTACATTTTGCCTTTGAAATTCCGTAAGAAGTTAAGTTGATAATTTTCTTTCGAGAGCACTCAAGTTTTGCTCGTGCCAAGATGAGAAAAATGTTTGAAGTTCTATTTTTGTTTTTCTTTAGTAAGAAGGTTCTTAGGGCTTCGTTAATATTAAAGTTCTGTTCTGTTAGAAATATTTCAAGTGTTTCCCAGGAGAATTTTATAAAAAATTGTATTACTATTGTGTTATATTTGCGATTATAAAAGAATACCGAGAGTTTTTTACGCCGGCTTTTTCTCTCGGCCTACACGCTCTGTGTTCTTTGCCGATGAGTAGGGATTAATAATTTAATGACGTGGAATAAGTGATACCTGTATCTTATGTTCCATAATAAACATATTTGTTCTAACACAATATTTAATAAATGTTAAAATCATAAACCCTTCCATGTATACTTAACCAAGAAATCAGACATTGCCAATAATTTATTTTCGTATTTGAAATCAGCTGTCAACTTTAATATTTTAATAGAAAATATCAATAAAGTTATTTCGGTGTTAAAATTAATTTCTTACTTAATAATCTTGTCTCTCCAGTACTATGGTCATGTTTTACTCCTGAATTTGCGACTCATACATATTGGTAGCTATTGTTATATTATTTAAATAACATTTGATACACGGCATGTCTAACACGTCTATGACCCACGTATAATTGCAGGGATCTAGATGTTTTTAGTCTAGCATAAGCTCTGAAGGCTCTCATGACACCCTACTTAAGGGTGGCGATCGACCAGAGAATTTACCCGCGCGATTAGGGAGCGTTCAAGTATTACGTAACGAATTTTGGAAGGAGTAAATTTTGTAAAACGTTACAATGCGGGGCGGGGATTGAATTACGCGTTATTGTTAATATTATTTTCGACTTTCCAGTATTTTACACCACATAATGGTAACTTTTAGGTATTAAGAGTCACTGGGTGGTCACGAAACGTTTTACTAAACTTGGGTACAGAAAAACGTTACGGCGCGTTACATGGGGGGGGGGATCAATAATCTCCAAAAATTGCGTTACGTAATACTTGAACGCTCTAGTAAGGGATTACCCTCTTTGGTAACTAACATGTCGTATTTTCTAAGGTAGCATAAATTACCGATCCTCACACCTCAAGAATCGGAGAACCAATTACAAATTTCATTTTAACCTACGCTTTGACCGGGACACAGCTAAGCCACGAGGCGTCGCGTTACTTGCGTTCACTGCCAGGCACAGAAGGCTGACTTTTGCATTGTATTTATCACCGTTAACGACGAATATCATTTCAATATTTGTCTTATACCTATGGCACTGGGTCACATTGAACTTATTTATCGTTAAAGTTTTCTAGTATTTTGTTATTTAACTAATATTGTTTTATTACGAATGTTGTTATATTCGGATCAAAATGTCAGTGTGTTATTCTAACTCTTAAATGAAAATACATGAACATATAAGATTGTCAGATGTTCAGACCTCCCACGGATATTCCATAAATAAGGGTATTAAATATTCACATTTTTCACAACCTACTTTGTAACCACCTACATGTATATGAAACAAAACACCGTTACGTACCTACGTAAAATAGTCATTTGAAATAATGGAAATTGTGAAAATGACATGCAAAAAATCCTGTATAATTTCGTAACATCGAACGTTGCAGACAAAGTTCTGTGTTTAGTTTCCTTCTGTTCCTGCCAATCCGAAAAAGTTCGATGGAATTCTTTCGATGGATACAATAATTATTACTCATGGATCTAGGATTTAAGCGACCAAGAAATTAAATGAATGAAATAAAATTTTAATGTATTATATTTTGAAAGAGGGGTTACTTACGAAGGAGCACAACGTTTCAATAACTTGCCCAATACTGTAAAAAGTGTGCAATACATTATACATTGTGTCTAAATACTGAGGGTGTTTGGTGAATGCACATAGGCACAGGCACTGCACACATAACAAAAACAAATTGTTTCTATGTTTGAATGTAATCTTATATATATATAAGCGATTAATGTAATAATTTTATAGGTTAGTCTATAAATGGTAAACCTAAAACGCATATCGTAAAAGTCTTAAATTATTATTTATTTATATTAATAAAGATTGGTTTTTATTATAAAATGAATTTATTTATTTCAGATCATATGTAGATGTTGTCTTAGTTAGAGTTGGTAACAATTTTGTTTTAGTCGCTATGTTATTATTGGTTAGTAAACAAAACAAAAAAAACTATAGTGGGACATTGTGTGGACAGACATTTTTTGATAAACCGGGCCAGTGATGGGACGCCCGTCTAACATGAAAACTGACTTATAGACTGACATGAAAATAAATATAGTTTAAAAAAACTATAAAACACGCTTTTAAAAGCGTGCACTTTTTAGTTTGATGTGCTTTAAAGCACATCAAACTAAAAAGTGGAAAATAATTCCTAATTTAGGCTGAAAATGGTAATGAACAAAAAATACTGGTATTATTGTGAAAAAGCGTGGGTTGCTCAATAGACGAAAAATATGGCACATTGGGAAAACGTTAGGACTTCATGGAGTAGGATTTTTGATAAAAAAGTATTTCAAAAATAATATTGTAAACTTTACGGGGATTTCAGAAAGAGTGGCATTCATAAAATTAAAATTTAAAAACTTGTCAATAACACTTATTCAAGTGTATGCTCCCACAGAAAGTGCAGCCGAAGAAGAAATCCATAAGTTTTACGAGGATCTTAGGAGAG